CCATTTATTAATCCTTGGTTAATTGCCCAATCTTTTCCGGATCTAGGGATTCCTACAAAATCCTTGAAGTTAAATTTTTATGTCAGGTTTTTCTTTTCATTTTGATTAAAATTATTGTTTCTCAAGTCTATATCAAGATCCAATATTCAGTTAATGATTTTTTCAATTTTCATATTAGTATCATCCTTAAAATTTATAAGAAATGGATCTTTATATGATAATTTAATATCTCACAAAATTTGGATCGAGTTTTCTTTAGATAATTCAGATTCTTGATCAAATTCCACTAGGATATTCTTTTGTCTAAAGTTATCTTCTAATTCTTTCCATTGGTACTGAATAAATGGTGGAGGTGGTTTTTTCTATATTTGTCTTAGTTGAGGAAATAGGTTTTTCTAATTCCTTAGGAATTTCTTTCATTATTTTTTCAATCTCCTTATCCTCATTTCTCAACTCAATGTTATTTTGAAATATATCCTCCAATTCACTTCTAATTCTTTGTTCGATATCTTTATCTTGCTTGTTGTTGTCTTCCTTAAGGTCTATCTCAGGGTCACTAAGTAAAATTTTTGGAGGATAATTGTTAATTGCATTAATACTCTGCTCCATTTAATTTTTCATATTCCTAATAGCGACCCCTTGACTCTCTAGCTCACTTAGCATTTGAATAATAAGCTTTTTAATAAATCCTTCTCCTCATTTTGTGAGTTGAAGTTAAAATTTTGAGGAAAAGAAAGTTCATCGTTAAAATCACCATGACTATTCTAATTACATGTCTGATTAAATTGATTTTCTTCCCAAAATTGGTTGTATCCTCCAAAATTATTATTCCAGTTAAAGTTTGAATAATTTTCCCAACCTGGGTTGTAATAATTGGAATAAGGATTGTTTATCTCATGGCTAGTTTCAAAAGAGTTAGTCTCAATCAATTGTCCAAATAAATTATTCTCAATATTTGGGGGCCCTTGAGGATAACTTTTTACATATTGATCTAACTTCCTCGCAATATTTGCAACCTGAGAAGTTAAGATAGTAAGCATATCTTCTTGAAAATTTGCCACTCTCTTGGGGTTTACTCTTTCGAAGCTACTAGAATTATAATCTAAATCTAAATATTCATTGTATTTTTGATTCGCTATTTTTACATTAAATTCATAGAGTCTTTTCTGATTCATAATCCTCCTAAAAGTTCTCTCCAAATCTAGATCATAAAATTCAAGGTCTGCTGCTATTGAACTGTACATAAAAATTTAAAGACTTAACTGATAAGACAGAAATAAAAAATATTTTTAGTATTTTGGATTTTCTTTAACAAACACACACAAACACACTAGATAATAATACTATAATTTTCAAACCTAAGTCTTAAAGGTTTAACTAAAATTCTTCTAAAGTTCTTACCGTTGCTTTCCCGACAACGAAGCCAAACACTTGACCCGGTCGGCAATTACACAGTAATTTAGCTTCTAAAATATGGCAAAAAACTTGACCCAATTTATATTTAGCGACTAGTGTAAAAAATTGAAATATTATAAAATATAGAAAACTATTCTCAAACTAGGAGTTCTACGCAAGTGTACTTATCATTTCAAGTAACATAGGGTTTTCTTCAAAAACCCCAGTATCATACCACTGAGAAGCGAGGTAAGAAATCACTTAAGCTAATTCTAGTCTACTATTATTAGGTCTTATTTGAAATTTCAATTTTAGTGATTTTTAACTAATCTTAAATGAAAATATTAATTCTAAGATCTAACAATTACTCCTAAATGAAAATATTAAATCTAAAGATAACAGTTTCTAGATGAATTGGTTTGAAGAAATTTGAGATGTTAAAAACTATTATTCTTATGTAGTGAATTAGATAATGTTTAGGAATGAGATACATAGAATTCAATATCACCATTGACATTAGGAGCAAAATTGATAGGAATCTAGCTTGTCATCCTAGAAACAACCAATTTACTCCTATAAGCAAATATTTCCTTATGATTGCATTCAATTACATTAAATATTGTAATGTGCCAAATAGAAGCAATTTTATTCTTTATCCTCTTTATGATCGATAAAGAACATTGGTTAATCTAGAGTTTGGTCCCTAAATTCGTGTTTAGGCTGGAAAAATATTGGCTCTCACTTCAAAGTTCTCATTCTCACGTTCCCCTCACCTGAGGACTAACATCTCATTTTAGTTTCCAAAGATTTGGACCAAATTAGTGATTTTAGTCTGTCACCCTAAAATCATCAATTCAACACTCGTGAAAGCTTATTTCTCTATTTATTTGCACTCAACCCCATGGACTACATTCTCATCTATAAAATCAAATGTGGTTTAACTTTGTTGAGAATTACACCACCCTCTTGAATCTGAGTGCAGTTACAACAAATTTTAACATTACAACAGGCCTAAATTGCAATGTAAATGAAGCTCAAGTAAAAACAATCACATTCATAATCAAAACATATTCTAACATGCATCCCAAAATCATAAACATAAATCTTACTTATTGCAAAATAAAAGTAAAATGAAAACAACGACATAATCTTTACTTATTGCAAAATAAAAGTAAAAGCAAAACAACGACATAATCTACTCATGCCACTATTCTTAATAAGAAGAATGAGTAAGAAAAACACTCATCCCACTATTCTTAATAAGAAGAATGAGTAAGAAAAACTACTCATAAAGCATGAAGAAAACACCACAGAAAACTTCATTACATCAAAGAAAATCCACTAGATAAGTGTTTACAAAATCATAAGATAATAAAGAACACAATACTTAGTTTTTTCTCCTTGAAATAAAGATGAAGATCTCTCCCACAAAGTCTCTCGCTTATCCATGCAATGTTAGTACAATTCCTTACAGGTTCTCTCAAAATCCGCTCTCCATGCTCTCACGAAAAGAAAGAATCTACATTTCTACTCTTATTATAAGATCTTCAAGCATTCCTTTCTACACTCATGCAAAAACTCTCTCTAAAAATCCACCTTTATACTCCTCATAAGAGACGCCAAGCCCCTCTTTTTAAAGAGACACTAAACATCTCCTTTTTCCCAAGAGACACATCTCTTCACTCCAAGAGACACGCTGCTTCACTCCAAAAGAAACACCATTTCATCCAAAATTATTTCCAAGTGTCAAGATTCATTGAACCACTCCATGGAGCTTGCAAGTTGTTTAGAATCTTTCAGAACATCCCAGAATAAGCCAAAATCGTCAAAGCCGAAATCGTCAAAAATCTGTCGATAAACTATTTCTGGCTCCTAGGTGATAGTTTCAAGCGCTAGGCACTGTCTTCTCTGTCTTCTAGCGCCAGTTTTTGGTGCCTAGGTACCACTCTGCAAGCAACTCCACTGTTTTTTTCCCGTTTCGCTCCATTTCAGCTCTATTTCAGTTCTGTTTCGCTCAAAATTGTTATACCTGCAAAATAAGCATGAAAATAACATTTCTTTGAAGTGTAATTTCATTCAAAAATATGTGA